CACTGACCTCCCTCTGCAAGGGGACCAGGCTGATGGAGGGCTAGACTAAATGCAGCACTGACCTCCCTCTGCAAGGGGACCAGGCTGATGGAGGGCTAGACTAAATGCAGCACTGACCTCCCTCTGCAAGGGGACCAGGCTGATGGAGGGCTAGACTAAATGCAGCACTGACCTCCCTCTGCAAGGGGACCAGGCTGATGGAGGGCCAGACTAAAGGCAGCACTGACCTCCCTTTGCAGGGAGAACAGGCTGACTAGAGGGCCAGGCTAAAGGCAGCACTGACAGGCCCAAGCATATAGTGAGTATCTGCTGGGAACATCTGGCAGAATCCCCTGTCAGAAGAAGCTTCAACTCCTACCTCTGGCAGAACTTTGCTCATGTCCTGGGGGAGGCGGGGGACATTGAGTCCGAATGGGCTGTAAGGTGGTCGGTGCCTGTCGCGGTGGCAATCCCCGAACCCACTGGTGGACACCAGCGATGAGGGATACCATCAGGCTGAAGAAGGAGTTCTATCGGGCCTTTTTGACCTGTCGGACTCCAGAGGCAGCTGATGAGTACCGGCGGGCTAAGTGGAACGTGGCTTCGGCGGTCACTAAGGCAAAAACTCGGGTGTGGGAGGAGTTTGGCGAGGCCATGGAGAATGACTTCCGGATGGCTTTGAGGAGATTCTGGTCCACCATCCTGTGGCTCAGGGCAGGAAAGTGGGGCAACATCAACAGAGCAGCAGAGCCTGGGGACTTGGGTGTGGACTCCCCTATCTCTAGGGCGGAGGTCGCTCAGGTGGTTAAAAAGCTCTTCAGTGGCCGGGCCCTGGGGGTGGATGAGATCTGCCCAGAGTTCCTGAAGGCTCTGGATGCTGTGGGGCTGTCTTGGTTAACACGCATCTGCAGCATCGCGTGGACATCGGGGGCAGTGCCTCTGGATTGGCAGACCTGGTTGGTGGTTCCCCTCTTCAAGAAGGGGGACCGGAGGGTGTGTTCCAACTATAGGGGGATCACACCCCTCAGCCTCCATGGTAAGGTCTATTCGGGGGTTCTGGAGAGGAGGGTCCACCGGATTGTCGAACCTCTGATTCAGGAGGAACAGTGTGGTTTTCGCCCTGGAACAGTGGACCAGCTCTATACTCTCGGCAGGGTCCTGGAGGGTGTGTGGGAGTTTGCCCAACCAGTCTACAGTACATGTGTTTTGTGGACTTGGAGAAGGCATTCGACCGCGTCCCTCGGGGAATCCTGTGGGGAGTGCTCCGGGAGTATGGGGTGCCAGGCTTCCTTATAAGGGCTGTTTGGTCTCTGTACGACTGGTATCAGAGCTTGGTCTGCATTGTCAGCAGTAAGTTGGACTCGTTTTCAGTGAGGGTTGGACTCCACCAGGGCCGCCCTTTGTCACCGATTCTGTTCATAACTTTTATGGACAGAATTTCTAGGTGCAGCCAGGGCGTTGAGGGTGTCCGGTTTGGTAACATCAGGATTAGGTCTCAGCGCCTCCAAATCTGAGACCGGGTCGGGGAAGGAGTCCTTCCCCAAGTGGAGGAGTTTAAGTATCTCCGGCTCTTGTTCACGAGTGAAGGATGGATGGAGCGAGAGATCGACAGGTGGATCAGTGTGCCGTCAGCAGTGATACGGGTGCTGCATCAGTCTGTCATGGTGAAGAAGGAGCTGAGCCAAAAGGAAAAGCTCTTGATTTACTAGTCGATCTACGTTCCTACCCTCACCTATGGTCACGAGCTGTGGGTAGTGACAGAAAGAACAAGGTCGCAAATACAAGCAGCCGAAATGGGTTTCCTCCGCAGGATGGCTAGGCTCTCCCTTAGAGATAGGATGAGAAGCATTGGGAGGGACTCAGAGTAGAGCCGCTGCTCCTCTGCATTGAGAGGAGCCAGATGAGGTGGCTCAGGCATCTGGTCAGGATGCCTCCTGGACGCCTCCCTGGTGAGGTGTGTCGGGCATGTCCCACTGGGAGGAGGCCCCAGGGAAGACCCAGGACACGCTGGAGAGGTTACGTCTCCCGGCTGGCCTGGGAACGCCTCGGGATTCCCCCAGAGGAGCTGGACGAAGTGGCCGGGGAGAGGGAAGTCTGGGTTTCCCTGCTGAGACTGCTGCCCCCGCGACCCGACCCGGAAAAGCAGAAGATGGATGGATAGATGTCACAGGTCAAAAAAAATAAACATTTCCATTTCATTCTTTTTGAAACCGATGGAAACACAGGCAGGTTCTAAAAAGGCACCAAGCAAGAACACACCCAGCACTGGCATCAGCACCGGCTCCGTGTTGGTGGAAACAAGGCATGACCTCCCTTTGCAGGGGGACCAGGCTTGTCTAAAGGCAGCACTGATAATTATATCCCATTGCAGATTAGCTGACCAAGAAATTGCAACCAGCTCCTGAGGACCATTTCTCAAATGCTTAACTTCCACAATTCAGCACCTTGGTCAGCTACTTATCAGCCTGTGTAATGTAGCTGAATATCATGGCTCTAAGGACCAGCAGGGAGGTGGCCATTGTCATAGGGGGATAGGAGGCCAGAGGGGGAGATGGGAGGGGGATATGGGAGGGGGAGACGGGAGGGGGAGACCGGAGGGGGAGACCGGAGGGGGAGATGGGAGGGGGAGACGGGAGGGGGAGACGGGAGGGGGAGACCGGAGGGGGAGGCCGGAGGGGGAGACCAGAGGAGGAGACCGGAGGGGGAGACGGGAGTGGGAGACCGGAGGGGGAGAACAGAGGGGGAGACCGGAGGGGGAGACCGGAGGGGGAGACGGGAGGGGGAGACTGGAGGATACCACTGACTTACAGAGGAAGGACAGATCTCTGTCGAGTGGCCTCATCAAACCAGTAAACTTTTGGAAGCATGGATAAACACTTTAGTTGTGCTGTGTTTAATTAAATTTGATGGAATAATTACATATTATTTAACAGAAGCTTTTATTATTGGCAAGAATGCAGTATCCATAGTATAATAGAATGTGAGAGTTTTAACTCTAATGTCACAAGGCAGAGTGCAATGTCCCTAATATGACAGAGCACAGTGTAGTAACTCTAATCTCACAGGGCAAAGTACAGTGTCCCTTGTATAATAGAGTACAGAGAAGTAACTTCAGTCTCACAGGGCAGAAGGCAGTGCCTTAAGTATGATAAAGTATAGAGTGGTAACTATAATCTCACAGGGCAGAGTGTAATGTCCCAAGTATGATAAGGTATAGAGTGGTAACTGTAAATTCACAGGAAGGAGTATGAGTTGTTCCCTTCTTTAGTATATGTAAAACCCTGCACTGCTCCATCCTGAGGTTAAAATGAGTTAAAATATACAAAAACACATCATTGCTGACATGATACGAAACAACTCCCATTCTCACTCCATTCCAGAGAAATCCACCCGGCACCCATACTGCACCAGGAAGAAAGTCTAGTAAGAAATCTAGGATCAATTTAATTGCTGACGTAGGGGGCTAATCTGAAAAATAACTCATTAGCTCTTCATAAACAGCAGTTGTCTCTGGGCTCACAGCGGGACTGAAGGGAGGGAAGCTTGGCCTGCTGCTCTTCTGAAGAGAGAAACCACGTCTCCCTGTGTAACTAAACTTCCAGCAAAGAGCCAGCGGGGATGCCGCAGGAGCCAGATGACCAAAATAACATTTTGCGTTTGGTGTGTTCCTTGTTCCCCCATTGTGTTTCATGTTTTTTGTCTCCGTCCTCAGGGAAAAATGTAGAGACAGCAGTGTTCCGTCATGACCAAACCCTAATGAAAGAAAGGGGCACCAACTAGCTGCATAATCATCAAACTTTTGGGAACTGTGCAGTCTCAAAGCAAGCCCATGCCACCCTCAAACAGAGCCATGTTGTGTAACTTTTGCTTGGTCATATTACAATCTCCACCAATGCATCCGACAGAGCCCGAGTAGGAAAGGCAATGGCCCTCGGCCCCTGTGCATCCGACAGAGCCCGAGCAGGAAAGGCGGCACCCCTGTGCATCCGACAGAGCCCGAGTAGGAAAGGCGGCACCCCTGGGCCTCCGTGTGTCCAGCAGAGCCCGAGTAGGAAAGGCGGCACCCCTGGGCCTCCGTGTCTGACAGAGCCCGAGTAGGAAAGGCGGCACCCCTGGGCCTCCGCGTGTCCAGCAGAGCCCGAGTAGGAAAGGCGGCACCCCTGGGCCTCCGTGTGTCCAGCAGAGCCCGAGTAGGAAAGGCGGCACCCCTGGTCAGTGAGGCCCTGTCGAGAGCAGAAACCCAACTCTTTGCTATGGATAATGTGCTAATTGGGCGGTAATTAGAATAATTGCCTTTGACACTCAAAGTAATGGCTCCTCATGATTCCTGGGAACCGAGGCCCTTCTTAGAAACTATAGGCTGCCAGTGATTTTTTTACAAAGCTAATTAGAATTTCTCTTAATTTGGCAAAATTCACTGGCCTATAAAAAATAATAGAAGGAGATGTGACAGATCTCCTGTACTGAGATAGGAAACGCCTTAGCGTAGTTCTCCCTGTTCATTTCATCCTGGTTACATTACAGGCTCTAGGGACAGCAATGCACTGTAGAGTATGAGGTCAGCATCGGGTCACAGGATCAGATAAATGTCATGGAAAGGAGGGGGTCTACAAACTCACCCACAACCTCACTGGGTATTTATTAAAGTCGAGAACAGCACCGATCTCTGTTTTCCGTGATAATCATGGTGGGATGTATGCCGAGAACATTTCTTATGGGCTAACACAAACTTGTTTCCAAGACAACGGCTCAGACTCCCCAAAAAAAGTACTTAGGGAGCTATTGTCAATTTCCCGCAGACTTCTTTCAGCATGCAATGTTTATGTCGTTTTGTCCAAGCACTCGTCAACATGGATGCAAATTAATCCAGACACACGCACAGACACACACACACACACACACACACACACACACACACACACACAGAAAGACTTGTACTCATATCTTTGTGGGGACAATGCATTCATTTCAATGGGCATAATCCTAATCCCAAAAATGACAACCTTAACCCCTGCCCTGCCCTAACCTTAACCATATGTAACCTAATAAAATACAAGACTTTTGACATTTTTCATTTTTTGATTGGAGTCACCGATTTGTATTAAATTGAGGTTATCGCTATGGGGACCAGAAAAATGGACATCACGACGTCAAAATAACAAGTTTAAATCACATGGTCCCCACAACGTAAGTATACCTGGACAACACACACAGACTCAGACAGACAGTCAGACACACAGGCACACACACACACACACACACACACACACACACGCACACAAATGGAGCTAACCAGCAAACTTGACATGGAATTTGCTCTCAGGTTTGAGGATCTGGACGTAAAGGGGGCAGTTTGGGGCAAAGTCCTTCACTGCCCAGGCCCTCAGGATGGTCTGGTGGTCCTGAAAATGAAAAATGTGGAGAAAGAAACAGCAAGAAGAACTTAATATTTATTATTCTTAATTATTTTATTTATCATTACAATGTACAAAAAACCAAAACAATGCTTTCACCATTCAGTATATTCAGTTTTGGTTATTTCCTGGCAGAGGCTAATCAACAGGATGTCAGTTACAGTGTGAGGATTGAGTATCAGTGTGATAGTATGGGGGGTTACCGTGTAGGAACTATCAGTGTTACAGTGGAGGGAGTATCAAAATGTTACAGTATGGGGAGTAATAGTGCTACAGTGTCGGGAGTATCAGTATTACACTATGGGGAGTAGTAATTTTACTATGTAGGGTTCCTCAATAAGTGGAGTATCAGCAGCAGCAGTGTTTGCCAGCACTCAATTTCTGTATTTCTGAAGGCCCCCGAGGTGTGGGTCCCCACCCTATTGCCCACAAGCAGTCATTAAACTAAATATTAAATGAACATGTTCCTTAATTAGGAGATCCATTTACTTGATAGTAATTTATTTAGTTTTTGAAACATGCTACAACAAACCCACCCCTGGGTATCAGTGTTACAGTGTATGGAGTATCAGTGTTACAGTATTGGGAGTATCATTCTTACAGTGTCCCCATAGTATCAGTGTTACAGTGTATAGAGTATCAGTTTTACAGTGTAGCTAACCTCAAATTTCAATTAAAAATTTTTTAATAATTCATAATAGCTAAAAAAACTTTTAAATAAATAGTAATGTGAATAATAGATGATTACTCCACTGGGAAGATATTATCCAGTGATGGAGCCTGAACTGATGAACCCCCCTCCCAACACAGAGTGCCATGTAGCCAGCAGTCCTGACAGAATCATCCAGTGCGGGATGGTGGCTGATTCTGAAAGCAGGCAAGCTGAGGCTATGAGACCCCCCCCCCCCGTGTTTCTGCAAAGACAGGATGAAGCGAGCAGCTGCCGCCCCCACCCCCACTTCCTGTAAGGGCCATATACTCCCATAAACATTAGAGGAGGGGGTACAGAGCTTGCACTGATTACACTGTGTTGCCACACCCACCACAAACCAGCTCAGGGATGCAGTGGGTGATACCTCAGCACCACACTAGTCCAAATGGACCAGTGTGAGATTTTCTGGTGACTGCAGTGCCAATCCTGCCACCAACCCCCAAGTTATTCCCTGTAAGCTGGAGGACCTACTTATAGGGCTGGATGTAGATTAACACCATACCCAGGATGAAGCAGTGGCAGGTTAGGGGCCTTGCTCAAGGGCCCAACGGAGTAGGATCTCTCCCAGCATTCAAACCCAGGACCTTCTGATTTCTGGCATAGATCCCACCACTGCCGAAAAACATTTGAGCTAACTGAAAATTAAACAGCTAAGGCGATTGCTCAGCATGGCAGAGCCCTCGTGGAACTGAGGTGACAGCATTTTTAAATCATTAAAGTAAACAGCTAAAACCCAGCTATTCCTGGAGTGTTACACAACAAACACAGGAAGGAGAAAGCATGACAGAATGGGAGTGAATGAGAAGCAGGATTACCGGATTACACAGGCCTGGTAAATGTGCCTATCTATTCACTCACTATTTCTGGGTCTCCAATGTTTGTGTGGAGCTGTATCACCCCCCCACCCCACCCCACCCCTGCACCCCCAGCCTGTGCAAGACAGTATCCTCTATCATCCAAAAGACGACACTGATTCCTCATCAGAGGCCACTGAGCCTGGCAGAGGGTGGCCCCCGGGAGAGAGAGAGAGAGGGAGAGAGAGGGAGGGAGAGAGGGAGGGAGTGAAAGTTGACGGTGGGCTAATGACGTCGAGGGTGACATGGTGATGGGGACGGTTCCCATCAAATTGGCGGGGAGACGTACAGCAGCGACGCGGTCGACTTCGAAGCGGTTGCTGAGGATAAAGCAGGCCTCTGCATCGTCCATCCTGTGCATCCAGGGGGGTGGGAGTCCCAAGACAGAAAGCAGTCATGGTTGTGGGGGGGGGATTAAAATTAATCTGGTTAGTAAGAAACAGCCAGAAGATCACATGCAGTATCTCTCCTTTACTGTGACATGTAAGAAACACAAGAGCTTATATTTACGGCAGCATATAATGAAAAGCACATATATGAAGGAGACGTGTCACACCATGCAGCCCCTAATGGGACATGGACCCCCCCTCACTTGGCTCTCATCAGGTCCTGGTCCTTAAGGGCGGAGCCCTGCAGGTAGATGACCCTCTGCGCCCACAGCGGAATCTGCAGCACCCGGCGAACCTGCACGTCCATCTCGGCCGGGCACAGGATCACCACGTAGTAATCCTGTGAAGCCCAGAGTCACCAGGCACGGGGCCCAGTGTGGTGGGGGGGGTCATTGGGATTACCTGTACTGATTGGCTCAACCTGCCCTACTTGCTGTTCTGCTTCGGCCCCAGATAACCCTGCCCGTGATGTTTACCCTGGGCCCGAGGACTTAAGTACCACCTGTTCACCAACAATAAGCCAGCGCAGTGATTTCTGTGCGTGTCCCTGTCACCCTTCTCTCATAGTGCTCCTCACCCCACCCACTGCAACTCTGTCCCCAAAGCGGGAAACACCAGCAAATCACTTACACCATATATCCTGCATAGCAGGAATGCATATTATACACCGTGTGTGTGTGTCTCTGTGTGTGTGTCTGTGTGTGCGTATGTGCGTGCGTATGTGAGTGTGTGTGTCTCTTGTGTGTGTCTCTGTGTGTGTGTGTGTCTGTGTCTCTTGTATGTGTGTGCATGTGTGTGTGTGTGTGTGTGTCTGTGTGTGTGTGTGTCTGTGTATAGTTTTTATGGAGCTGCACTGTTACAAACTTGTCGTCTAGTCATTCTGTGGTCTTTGAGGAGTGTATGCAAAGGAGAATTTCATTGTACTTAGTACATTATACTCTGCGCACATGACAACATGACAATAAAGCTGTGAACTGAATCACATTGAGGTACAGAATAATGGAGGCTATGAATAATGGAAGGTGGCAGGTGCAGACTGGCGCCCCCTGGAGTATCACCTGCAGGCGGGGGTGTGCGTAGAACTCGTTGAGGAAGTCCATGAGCAGGTCGATCTTCAGGCAGCTGACGCACAGCACCACGTGCTTCTCCGTCTGCGCCCGGTACCGGCTGTAGTTACCGCCTGACTTCTGCCGCTCCATCCAGAGGAAGGCCAGCTGCTCGAACTGGGGGGGCAGGGAGACAGCAGCGGTGTAGCTACCTGGGGGGCCCTGGCGGAAGCTGGGATTCGGCCTGTGTGTACAGCACCTGTGTCGTCTAAGGCACCAGCACCACAAAACTGAACGGGGTGGGTGGGTGTTTTGGGAAGAAAGGGGAGGAAATGGGCGGGTACTGCACCGACAGATGGAGGTCTATCTGCGTCTGAAGTGGTGATGTTCGGCACCACCACAGACTGACAGGCGAATCAACCCATGATGACAGAGGGAAAGAGCTGCCTGTGCCGGGGGGGGGGGGGGGGCAATTGTGCCAAATGCTGATATAGATTTTTCAGGGAACTGTCACTTTCATGGCTTTCTAGCTCTATGGGGTGAGAACACCTTCTGTGACCCCATAGATATCTTGTATGCCAAGATAACCCAGAAGCCCAAACTTGCATTTCGGTCCTAGAACAACATTCAGCTAATCCCTTAAAAAATCTGAAAAGATTATAATTATTTTACTATTATTAATAATAATTATTATCATTATAATTTTCACTGCTTGCTTTGAGGCTTTTATTTAAAAATTATATACTTTGGAGATAACACATTTTGAGCATTGTTTGCCCTTAATTTCCTCAGATCCTCCAGTTCTTGCTAGCTCAGTGTTCTGGTAATTTAACCGCGATGTTCCCAAAATATTTTAGGAACATAAAGATGTAGGATTAGACCATTCTCAACCCACATGCTGCTCATTTTCAGGCAGGACTGCAACGACAATGCAATTGTGGGTCACATGACAGCAAGCTCAGCGATTGGCTCACCTGCACAGGCAAAACGATGAGAGCCACACAGATCATGATGACCACCAGAAGCTGCGAGGGCCAGATCCGGGGCGTGACATCGCCAAAGCCCACAGTGGAGAAGGTCACCACACAGAAGTAGAGTGAGTCGAAGAGCGTCAAGTTGTTGCCGGCGCGTTCTAGATGCTGGATGCCACATATGCTGGGGAGCAGAGAAAAGATGGAGCTAACAGGGGGACGGTAGAAGAAGCTGGAGAGTGCAGAAATGATGCACCAGGATGGCATTATGTACAATATGAACAAAAGTACTGGGACACCTCGCCTTTATACCCACAGGAGCTTTTATGACACTCCATTCTAAAGCCATAGGCATCAGTATGGAGCTGGTCCCCCCTTTGCAGCTGTAACAGCTGCCACTCTTCTGGGAAGGCTGTCCTCAGGATTATGGAGCGTGTCTGTGGGGATTTTTGCCCATTCATCCAGAAGAGCATGTGTGAAGTTAGGTGTTGATGTTGGACGTGAAGGCCTACCTCTCATTCTCTATTCTAGTCCATCCCAAAGGTGTTTGATGAGGTTGTCAAGGCTCTGTGCAGGCCAGTCAAGTTCTTTCACAACAAACTCACCCAACCATGTCTTTAAGGACCTTGCTTTGTACACTGGGGCACAGTCATGCTGGAACAAAAACGGGGTCTTCCCCTAACGGTTCCCACAAAGTTGGAAGTATAGAATTGCCTCACATGCCTTTTTAGCAACCAAACCACCTGCAAGTCAGACTAGGTGATCCCCTTGAAGCTACGCAGGTTTGGGCCTGGCCAGTACTTGAACGAGAGACCAACTAGGAAAGCTGGGTTGCTGCTGGAAGAGGTGCCAGTGTGACCAACAGGTTAGCTTGGTAAGCTTGGATCTCCAGTGCAGTGATGGGGATGCTATGCTGTAAAATGGTGCTGGCCTTTGGATGAGAAGTAAAATTGAGGTCCTGACTCTCTGAGGTCATAAATGATCCCTGGGCATTGTTTGAAAGAGTAGGGGTGGAACCCTGATCTCCCAGCTAAAACGGCCCACTGTTGTCCTTTCAAATCTGGCCTCCTAATCACCCCGCATATATCACTGGTGAATCCTCTCCTGCCCCTTCACCACCTTAGCCACTGTGTGGTGAGCGTACTGGTGCAGAATGGCTCCAGGTGGGGGCTACACAGTGGTGGTGGTTTAATAATGATTGATACTTTACTAATCCCTGTTGGGAAATTCTCTTTATGCCTCCCCCAACTAGCTCTCTATAGGTGAGAGCAAGCTAGTGGCTCCCCATTGGTTTTGGAAAGTGCTTTGGGTGTCTTGAAAAGTGCTATATAAATGTGACATTCATACATTTTGGACAGTTCAACGCTTCCAACTTTGTGGGAAAAAAATTCCCGCAGCAATTGCCAAAAATTCTTTGTGAAGCACTACCCCAGTGCCCCATATGTATTTAAGGAGTATATATGTATGTGTGTTCACATGTTTGTGAGATTAATGCATGTGTGTCCCTCAGACCCACCAGGTAAACATGAGGCAGACCAGGGTACAGATGAGGATGAGGACTTGGTTGAACATAGCCGAGTGTGTGCGCTGGATCGCCCGGTGCAGGTCGTTCTGACAGTGGGAGAGGGGGGAGAGACAGCGCATAGCTACATAAATCCCAGTGGCATGATGGCATTTTCCCAGCTCCTCCAACAGCCTCATTAGTCACAGGTGACTGGTAATATTATTACAGAAACCATTACCAAAACATCTGGAAATAGCCAAACTGACACTATGCATAGGACAGACCATTTACCCCCACTAAGTTTCAGACAAAATTTTAAAGCGGATTGAGTAATGCAGAACCAGTGTGCTAATTCCTGGGATTACTCTGTATATGGAAGAAAGACTGCAGAGAACTGAAAAGTTTATGGTATGATACATTCTGACCACTGAAGGTCATCTAAACTCTACAAATACCTAAACATCATGGAAAAGCAGCAGGAGCCAGAATCCACTGCAGTGGGAACTCGCGTGTGTAGAAATGGAAAGCAGAACCCAGGCACCAGCAGTAATGCTGAAGAGTCCACATTAACCAGAGTCACATAGAACTGGACAGCAGAACCCAGGCACCAGCAGTAATGCTGAAGAGTCCACATTAACCATAGTCACATAGAACTGGACAGCAGAACCCGGGCACCAGCAGTAATGCTGAAGAGTCCACATTAACCAGAGTCACATAGAACTGGACAGCAGAACCAGGGCACCAGCAGTAATGCTGA